AGCGCCAACTCATACTTCTCTGGCCAGCAAAAAGAGGGCCAGGCTAGCACTCAGACTGAACAGGCAGCCGGCGCACAAACTGATGGAGACGTCAAGAGCAAAACGAGCGAGGTACCCGACCCGGATGCCAAGCACGATCTTGCAGACGTAGATCCTCGCGCCGCACACCCTGGTTTGAACCTCAGCGGTCGCGTTATCAGTGCGACCTTTGCCATACCCTATTCAATTGGCTACTCACAGGGCAACGACTGGGAACTGAACCCGCGACGCGGAACCTCGGCCCTTTTCGACTCCTTCTCTTACCTGGCCTCTAGCTCTTCTCCGTGGAACCACGTGCTCGTAGGCTGGACTGGTGAGATCGCGCACGCAAAGACAGCATCCGTCACAGCTACGCAAGCGCCCATGAACAAGGCCGCCGCGCCCATCCCCGTCGATCCAAAGAAACCGACACAAGTACCTCAAGCTCCAAACAGCTTCAGGATAGGCCCAGACGATCGAGCACGATTGGATAAACAGCTCGAACGCGACCACGGAGGCAGGATTGTGCCAGTGTGGCTTGTCGACGAGGTGGATGATGGCAAAGATGAATACATCCTGAAGAACCAGAGCCATTGGAGGACATATGCCGAGCACGAGCTCTACACCCTGTTCCACTACAAGCAAAATGAGCCAGCTGATGGGCGCGCTGCCCGGAAATCATGGGCTGACTACTACCGCATGAACAAGCTCTTCGCAGACAGGATCCTCGAGGTCTACAAGCCGGGCGACATCGTTATGGTACACGATTTCTACCTGATGCTCTTACCAAGTCTCCTTCGCCAACGTCTACCCAACATCTACATTGGCTTCTACCTGCACATCCCTTTCCCAAGTAGCGAGTTCTACCGCTGCCTGAGCAGACGGAAAGAGATCCTGGAGGGCGTGTTGGGTGCCAACATGATCGGCTTCCAGTCATACAGCTACTCGCGGCACTTTTCGTCTTGCTGTACTAGGATACTGGGTTTCGATTCGTCTTCCACTGGAGTCGATGCCTACGGCGCGCATGTAGCAGTCGACGTGTTCCCCATCGGAATTAACGCAGTCTCCACACAGCGACAGGCTTTTGGCGACCCGGAGATTGAACATAAACTCAAAGACATCCGCGAGATGTATGCTGGCAAGAAGCTCATTGTTGGTCGTGATAGGCTAGATGCGGTTCGCGGAGTGGTCCAGAAGCTCCAGGCATTCCAGCTCTTCCTTCAGAAGTATCCCGAATGGGTTGGCAAAGTAGTCCTCATCCAGGTCACAAGTCCTAGCGGAGTCCATACCGATAGAAGTGATGGCGCACAGGAAAAGGTGGTCAACAAGATCTCGGACCTTGCGGCCAAGATCAACGGCACCTACGGAACCCTAGACTTCACCCCGGTCCGGCATTTCCCACAATATCTTTCCCGGGAGGAATACTTTGCTCTGCTTCGACTTGCAGATATCGGCCTCATCACCAGCGTGCGAGACGGTATGAACACGACAAGTATGGAATACATCATTTGCCAAAAGGATAATCACGGACCGCTCATTCTTTCGGAGTTCTCTGGTACAGCGAGTTCCTTGCACAACGCAAGCCACATCAACCCCTGGGACATGGGCGGAGTTGCAGATGCGATCAACGACGCTCTGAACCAGAGTGACGAAGTTCGTGCCGAGACGCACGCTCAACTCTACAATCATGTTGTGCAAAACAATGTCCAGGCTTGGTCGAACAACTACCTGAAGCGATTGATGACGAATCTGTCAGCTTTCGACCAAGCGTTCGCCACGCCAGCACTGGACCGAGCTAAATTACTCTTCCAGTACCGTGAAGCCAAGAAGCGACTCTTCATGTTCGACTACGACGGCACTCTGACACCCATTGTCAAAGACCCACAGGCAGCCATTCCATCCGATCGGGTTATCCGGACCCTCAAGACTCTAGCAGCGGACCCTGCGAATGCTGTTTGGATCATCAGCGGCAGAGACCAGGCTTTCCTGGACGAATGGATGGGCCACATTCCCGAGTTGGGTCTGAGTGCTGAGCATGGAAGCTTCATGAGGCATCCACGTAGTCAGGAATGGCATAATCTCACCGAGACAACCGACATGAGCTGGCAGCAGGAGGTTATTGACGTATTCCAGCACTACACAGAGAGGACCCAAGGTGAGCTCTTACACTCTAAACTGAATGGTCTAGCACTAACAGATGATCAGGCTCATTCATCGAACGCAAGAAGATTGCCCTGACGTGGCACTACCGGAGAGCGGATCCCGAATACGGTGCATTCCAGGCGCGTGAGTGCCAGAAGCATCTCGAGAGGACGGTCGCAAAGAAGCACGACGTCGAGGTCATGACGGGTAAAGCCAATCTTGAAGTTCGCCCGAGGTTCGTGAACAAGGGCGAGATCGCGAAGACGCTTGTAGAGAACTACGGCGAAGGTAGCGGCAATGCGCCTGAGTTTGTTCTTTGCATGGGCGACGACTTCACAGATGAAGGTATGTGTTGCACTTGTGGCTGCGCTGTCCACCCGCTAATATCAACAGACATGTTCCGATCGCTGCGCCAGTCCAAACTGCCCACTGATCACGTCTTCTCGGTCACGGTTGGCGCCAGCTCGAAGCAGACGCTGGCTAGCTGGCATCTGCTTGAGCCTTCGGATGTCATCTCTGTCGTTTCGTTGTTGAACGGATCCGCAGATGCAGGCAATGTTGGCGCGATTGCTGTGGTCGATGGCACGGTTCCGGAGTCTCGAGTAATCGCATGAGGTCATGGTCGGACAATTTCAACTGTAATGGAGCACGGAGCATGGTGAGGCTGTAGATCTACGGTATGCGGCATGGCGATCCCGGAATTTTTTGGGCATCAAGTTTTGGAGAAGCAATCAGATCCTATGTCATGGTGGTTCTCGTTGTCCTAGGAAAAGAAACGTTTCTGTTCTGTGATCGGCCATGCCGATTGCTACCCGGCGGATGAATTGTGCTGCACGAGGATTAGCAATGCGCCCCTGGGACGAGCGCCGGTTGCCAAGGCGGTGGCGCCGGCACGTTCTGGGGTCTCGCCCAAGACCCCTGATTACCACGTGAGACCCTGACTCGAGAACCGGGAACCTTTGGATGCGAACTCTAGGAAATCCAGGGTTTTGGAGCCTTCGGAGAGGTTTCCGCGACGGCTATGCTTACAGATTGCCCAGCTGTCAAGCAAGTAAGCCGCTACACCCCGCAATGAAGAATATCGATGCAAGCAAGCCGCGCAATGGCGAAAGCGGTCCACGACTCACGGTTCCGCGACACGGACACGATGGCTTTTCTAGGCCTGGTATGTTTTGACTTTCGGCTCTACTAACCCCAAATCATGCAACTTGGGATTCGAGAACTGCCCGCGCATGAAACCTGGAACGCCTAGCAACTGTCCCGCCCCAACAACCTATCCGAGGGAAGGCCCTCCTTCCTCTTGGAACTCGCGTACCGTAGTCGTTAATCCCGTCTTTTACCAGCCATCCGTTCCTTTTTCATCACATCGTTCCCCTCCCGCGCCGCATCTCTACACTCGTTTACCCGCTATCTACCCTCCCATAATCTGAGTACCAATCTTACGGGCGTGAAGCGCATTATTATAACATAATTCGAGTACCTGGTCCGACCTCAATCCGATACGGCATCTGCAACAGCGCAGCAGGGAACTAGCCGGCGAACACATTGCGACATCACAACCGTGCCGTATCTACGATCCGCCTCTCCTTGGTATTCCTTCTTCGACACAGACACAAACACAATATTCCTCGGCGCGCGGCACAACAAACTTCACACAATACACAATGGGTCTCATTGAGAAGATGCAAGCTCGTATGTCTTACCTCGCTTCGTCCCATCTTACCTTAGTCTCGAACCTTCACACCTGCGACAGTAGACTAACAAGAACCCAATCCAGGCCTCGAGCTCTACCGCCTCGAACAGCGTTACACACGTCGCGAGAAGCGCACGACCTTTATCAGCGAAGCGCAATACGTTGACGGCGAGTACGTCTATGCCTCGGCTCCTTCCTCGGCAAACTCGTCCACCACCTCAAGTAGCAAGCGCTTCAGCAAGATGCCTTCTACTATACGGATAAAGGAACTGAGCCGTATGGGAACTGGACGGTCATAGACGCTCCTCGGGCGAAGCTGCTCCTGTACCTACGGGTCGACGACTATCGATGTATGGACACCTATCCGGTCGGACCAACAGAGAGAAGACAGCGTCATAGCCTACCGAGGAACAACGTGCCATGCATGACACCTTACACGGCATCGCAGCACACGACGCGCCCAAAGCTTTGAGAACGTCGCACAAGAAAACAAACACCACGCGCAAGCAGAAAAGAAAGAGGAGTCTCGACACACCTCGCAGACACTGCGCAAGCGCAAAACATAATCATTAACGCAACGACATTTACGCCAGAACAACCATCGACGAAAGGGAAATAACGGACTAAAAGTTTCTTCCATCATGTCAAGGTTCTTCATTCTTTACACCCACATTTTCCTTTTCTCTTGCCATCATCTATCGAGATTTATAAGTCATGTTTGCGACACAGTTAGAATACCCCATTGGCTTCCAGAGTAGACCTGGATATGCATCAATACAAGTTTATATGCAATTGGTTGTGTTGGATGATGATTGGATGATGTGTTGCGTGAAGGTGTTGCGGGTGAATGGAATGGTTGCCAAGAGTGTCCTGCAGATGCGTAGGGCGTGTGGACCAAACGCCGCATGAGAGTGGTTGAGAATGGGAAGGATTGTAGGCGTAAGGCGTGTGGGCGCAAGGCGTGTGCGGATAAGGTAGTATGTTGCAAATATGGGAGTTGTATATTCACTTCTAGTCGACGCGGACACTACTTGTTGCGACGGTACCCTTACGATAGCAAGATCCATTAGGACATCAGCAAGTACAGCTAATTGATACCCATCACATTCTCCCCTTATATCTAAACCACGTACTGGCAACCGGGAACATGTCCAACGATCCCATCGAAAGCACACCCGCAACGACTGTTGCTAAACCAAACGACCAAGATCCATCCCCACGAAGAGACGTCGAAGAGAAACACATCTCACAACTCCATGAGACCCCTTCCGTACTCCCTCCAACCCTCCCACCCATGGACAAAGGAAAACACGCCTGGCTCTTCCTCACCGCAGCCTTCGCCATCGAATTCTTGACCATCGGTCCGTCGCCTCCCAATATTCCTCCTCCCTCCCCATCTCTCCCTATCTCTCCCTAACACACCTCCCCTAACACAAACTCACCATCCCACAGGCCAATCCTTCTCCTACGGCCGCTTCCAATCCCACTACACCACACACGCCCCCTTTGCCTCCAACTCCAGTTCCCAATCCACCTCCTCCTCTTTTGCCGCCGTAATCGGCGTCCTAAACCAATCCTTAATCCTCATCTTCCTCCCCCTTGTCTTGTATCTCGCGCGCCGGAAACCGGGCTACGCACGCTGGATGGCGATGACAGGTCTGCTCGGTTGTGTTGTGTCGAACATAGCTAGTTCGTTCTGTACTAGCACAAGCCAGCTTGTGTTTACGCAGGGTGTGCTGCAGGGTGTGAGTGGTAAGTTACGTCACTGTAACTGTATGAACGGCATATGAGACTTTGACTAACTAAGTACACGTATCTTAGGTAGTGTAGCGTTTTGTCCGCTGTTGGTCTTCGCAGAACAGTGGTTCGACAAAAGGAGAGGGTTGGCGTTTGGAGTTATTGGTGCGGGTGGTGGGTGTGGGGGGTTGATTCTGCCTCTTTTGATCAACGCGTTGCTGGAGCAAGTGGGATACCCGAGTACGATGCGGGTTTTAGCTGGTGTGATGTTTGGCGCTGGTATGCCGTTGGCGTGGTTTGTTAGACCGAGACTCCCAGTTAGGAACATCGACAATACCGGGGAGAAGAGGTTCTGGAACTGGAAGCTCATCTGCTCGAGATCTTTTCTTCTACATCAACTTGCTAATTTCGTTCAAGGCGCGGGGTACTATCTCCCTGGTATCTACCTCCCTTCTTTCACCCGCGAGGTGTTCGGTGCATCGGATTGGTTGGCTACGGCCTCACTCATGTTACTCAATGTGTCCGCTATGGTCGGTCTCACCATCATGGGGTACATGACCGACCGCTTCAACTCACGGGTCTGCATTGCGGTCTCCGCCACTGGCGCTACTCTCTCTGTCTTTCTTTTCTGGGGCTTGGCTACACACATCGCTGTTCTATACATCTTCTGCATCTTGTTTGGTTTATTTGCCGGCGGCTTTCCAGCAGCATGGCCAGCTGTCATGAGGGAGATGGCGAAGAAGGGCGAGTCGAGGGGGATGGGACATGTGGATACCATCCTCATATTCTCGCTATTCTGTCTTGCTAGGGGAGTTGGGAATATTGTTGCTGGGCCGATGAGTGAGGCGCTTGTTGGCGGCATGCCTTGGAAAGACGAGGCGATTGGGGGCTATGGAAGTGGTTATGGTGGACTTGTTGTTTTCTGTGGGCTGAGTTCGCTGATTAGTGGGATGAATGCGTTGTGGTACCATTTGTTGTAAAGGCCTCTAAATCCGGTAGAGCATAGATCCTGTCTTTCTGGTCCAATCACGTGCAGATGCACGCGATTTAGGATGACTGTTCCAGATTCTGTACGGCTCGTATAAGATTACGCCCGTGTAACGTGCGAGTACACGTCGCTCCACCACCTCAGATCCTGCAGCGTCGTAGCTACAGATCTCTTCTTAGCCGTGTCACTCATTCAGTAACCCTCCCGCATAGCATTCTTCCCGTAATTCTAACCGACCGGCCAGGGATCCAAAGGGGTGCCATAATGCGAAGTTGCCGATGACAGCCTCGATCCCGCTAAGCCTGCATATGTACAGTGTCCTAGCAGTGCAGGGTCGCGTAAGCAGGCGAACTACGCCCTCTATATACCGATCAATCCATACAAGAGGATGTAAAAAAGCAAAAGATGGTGCATTTGTTGCCATTGGTGGTGTGCGACTAATCGCGGGTGGGCGGACCAAATATGACCTGCATTGCATGAAGCTGCAACGCTAACAGCAGAGGCAACCCTGTGACCATTGACACCCACGTAGTGACCATGCGAACCGAGGACGATGGGGGGAATTACTGAAAGTAGATGGTTGTAATGTTAATGGAGTATATTGCGCTAAATAATAAGGACATTGGCGTAGTTTTGCTATCGAGTACGCGTGTGGCTGGCTGCTTGGGGGGTATATCATCCGATCTATAGGTATCTTGCGCAAGTGAATGGGAGTGACCCTTGATCTCTCTTCCCTTCTAGGTGGTGACTCCGTTTGTTCGAAAGAAAATGATGAAAGAAATGGAACCCAAATGTGGACCAACGCCGAGATAAAATATGCCCGCCACCGTAAAACTCCTGGAAATGGAAATCCGTTTGCGAATGTTGCCCTCAAAGGGTCTGAGGTCGTTAAAGTCGTAATGCTCGAGGCGGCCATGCGCTCTCAAATAGGGATAGGTGAGTGCGGTGCGGAGCTGTGCACTAGACGTTGTTGTCGTAGTCGCTGAGGATGTCCTCTGGATCCTCCGGTGGAAGCATGTCGATGGTGTCGCTTGTGCGCGGGCCGGTGTACTTCTTCCTTGCACCCGCATACCACCAAACCGTGCTAAACAGGCCAATGAAGGCTGCCACACAGATAGCGTAGTTCATGTTGTCGGCCCTGACTGGCTTGACAGTCGGGAAGAACAACACAACACTGATGAAGATGACCCATGTCACTGCAATCGCATTGACCGGCTTGCTCCATCTGCCCATTGTGTATGGTCCAGGGTGGAAAGTGACAGTATTCTCGTACCATCGGTGTGCAATGATGACTGCGATGTAACTGATGTCCAAGGCCGGGGCGGTGATGTTGAAGATAGCCGTAATGGTAAGAGTGCTTCCGATGCCGATTAGGTCGAGGCAGCTGCAGAACAGCACAACGAGCCATACCGCATTGACCGGAGTGTGCGTGTAGGAATTGATCTTGCTCCAGAAACTATGCAAAGTCAGCACCCCTCAATACTAGCGCCGACTGGAAGCGGAAACTCACCCCGAGAATGGGAAGGCTGCGTCGCGGGAAAAGGCCCAAGCCATTCTAGCATTCGCCAACATGGCGGAGCAGCCGGTGAAGAACTGGACCAACATGACGAAGAACCACATGATGGTTCCACCTGTTTTGCCGCCGGCGTTGAAGAAGATCTGGGCCACTGGCAGACCGGTCGGCGTGGCCATAATCGCATCGTAGTCTGACATGCAGAAGCAGAAGGTGACGGTTAGCATCCAACCGACGACACCGGAGACGAGGATCGCAGCGCGGATCGCTACAGGGCCGCGAATAGCGGCATCGTGGGTCTCTTCCGACATACTGTGTAACGCTGATTAGATTGGCTCATGTGCGGAGTCGTAGGGCTGACTTACTGTGTCGTGCCGTCGTAGTCAGTCATCGTCCATGCAACGGAAAGGAAGCTGGGACTAGTCAGTGGTCTGGCGCTATGCGAGTGTTGGTTTGGACCTACCCAAGGAGGAATGAAAAACCCTTGCTTCCCCAGCCTGAGCCATCCATGACTGTTGTGAACACCCATTGTGGGCTTTGCTTGTTCGGCGTGAGAATGAGAAGAGCGATGCAAATGCAGATTGATGCGATGACTATTTGCTGTCAGACGGCGCTCAACAACGAATCCTTCGTCGACGTACTGTTGATAGGGGCGAACCACAAGATAATGCGGTGAAGCCAATTCGTGGGAAACGAGCAGATTGTGCCAAACATGCACAACACGAAAATAGCGAGAAGGACGGTCTGATATGCTTGCCTGCATTGATCGGTAAGCTGCTGCAGGTGATCCAAGTGGGGTGATTCTTACGGCGTAAAGGCAGACTCTCCATTGTCTAGCGTGTGCATGACAACCGTTGCCAATATCATCTGGGAGATTGTATACGCCAGACTTGCAACGCCGGCGGCTTGTCCAAGGAAGTTGCACCAACCGATGATCCACGCCCAGGCTGCAACGTGTTCAGGTGGTACAACGTGTTTTGTGACATAGTACATGCCTCCCGCTGTCGGATATGCTGAGACCAGTTCGGCAACTTGACGAGAATTAGCTAGAGCTCTCGTATGCATGTTACAAACGTACCTGAACTGGCGATGCAGTATGCCATGATGCTGCCAATGAACCAAGCCCATACTGCTGTTGCTGGACCACCCGAGCTCATTGGTGCACCAAAGGTAGCGGGGACTGAGCCCAGTACTCCTAGAATCGAGATGGCATATGAAACTGTAGACCATCTCGAGAAATGTCTTTGTAGAACCTGCGGAGACTGTTGGAAAGTGGTCGAGTGAATGACTTGGAGCGCTTACAGGAGTGTATCCAATGCGCACAAGTAGGCGGTCGTCGTCGTCTGCGATGGTTGCCATGATGCTTCGGTTCTGGTGATGCCCTGCTTCTGCTGCTTTCGATTGACTGGAGACGGTAGGTTGGAGCGCTCGTGGCTCACTCGGTCCCAATTCTTTGGAGTCTGGATTGAAGCCCATGGTTAATACCGGTGATCAACGAACAAGCATGAGAAGTTGAAGAGAAACAAGAAGGGTCTCGGCGACGGAAGCGTAGAAGGAATTTAGAAGGGTGTAAAAGACGGTGGGCCGTCAGCGGAGACACACTAGGAGGATTGACAGCCACGGCGTGGATCCACAAACCCAGCTACCAGGGAGTCGATACTGGATGTGGAAAGGGTACGTGGTCGGGTGAATGATGTAGGGGCATGGGAGACATGTCCACGGGTAGTGGCTATATGAATAACCTGACTAAAGGGAAAGCCAACCGTGCGACCAACGGGTGCCCAAAACGGTCCAGTAGTATCAAGTTGCGAGATGCGACCTACATTCAGGGTAGTAATTTTACAGCGTTTGCCATGATGACACGTGCGGAGTGTGTTGCTAGAGGCGTGAACGTGGGAAAGAGCAAGTAAGGAGTGGGACGACAGGGTGCGAAAACGCAGCCAATCGCAAACAATCAGCCTCTTTTCGCAGACGGGCAGATCCTGGAGTCGCTGAAGCGATTGTGGGTTTACGGTACTGTCATTTGCGCACGAAGACTGGTGCCGAACGTTTGAAGGAAGTAGCGTGCTGGGGCCAAGAAGAGTGGTGCCGCTTCGGCGACCCAAGGTGGCGGGCCGTTTACTCTGCATTTCTGACTGGGGTATACTCAGCCCTGGGAACAATATGTAACCCACCTCATGAGACGCTTGTGACGCCTGTCGAAGCGGCATGGATGAGCTTCTTGATAGCTGACTGTCGATGTTTAGCCGATGTGTCGCGAGGCACGGTAGATTACTCAACGGCGTCAACGCGCCTCAGCGAGGAGCCCTTACTCAATGTCCGGGCAGGAAACTGCCGCGGTCTAACACATTCTTTGGAGCTATGACGCACGCAGATGGAAGTGCGGCTTGCCTTGCGTGAGCTCACGAGCGGTACGACTCGGGTGTTACTACGGTCTACCTGTAACCGGTACCCCCTGACTGTTCGTAAGAAAACTTCGTCCAGGCGGTGAGGAGGAAGATCTCTATTGGTCCGCGCGGCTATTTTGATACGACGTACCTTCGCCGAGGGACAGATCTGAGGAGCATGATATCAGGGAATTTTGTAAGCTTCTGGCTGGGCTCTTACGGAACGCAGACTTCGGAGTCGCTCCATGAACCGCGGCGGGAGCTTTCATCCGAAACCTTGATCCCTGGCCCTCAACTGAAACGTCGGCCATGATTTACTCGGGATTCGTATACTCGACAATATACTTTGAGAACGAGAGTCTCGTCGACAGCTTATCAGAAATCAGTCCCGCGTTGTGTCATCTTGCCTAGACGAGTAGCATAAGCGACACCCGTGGACATGCCTGCGACGGCGCACATGCAACAACCAATGCACATGTAACACGAACCTGACCAGATCGTCCACGGAGATTTGCTTTTCATTACCATTGCGCTGGGCCTCTTGCACCTCTCAAACTGCACTTAGTCGCGCGCCTTGGTGCGCGCCACATATCTTCGAGGGCCCGATTTAAACAGCAGCACGGATCGTCTTCCTGCAACCAGCCACGACGAAGCATGGATCAGGAGCGCCGCCTAAGTATGCACATGGCCAGGTGATCATGATGATGGTACCAAGGCCAGGATATGGAATACTCGCTAGACGTCTAGGAGTGTTGGCAAGATCCGAAAGAGCGGTGGAAGCTCGCGGCTATTCACCCATCGACTAATTCCAGGGTCTTCCTGTTCGACTCAGTCCGCCTGGCACGGAGTTGAGCACGAAGCAGAGCCGTTGGACAAATTACCAGAATCCCTGGTCGTTAACGTTTGTCAAGCGTTCACGGCTACGACGGAAGACGATGCGTCGTAAGATGAAGATCCTCCAAGGCTCTGCGATGAAATATACCGACCGATATCGCTTGCAGCTGCCTCATCGATCATCACAGACGACATGGGTACATCGTCATTCTGTTTCGGGCTGTCGGGCGTGTTAGCAGTCGAAGGTTAGCTTGGACGGCGCAGATGTGAGTCGGGGAAGGAGCAGAACCGGCGTCTAGGGCCCACTGTGGGCATCATCGCATTGCTAGCTGCAGCGCAAGCCCTTGGACTACCGCTTGCTCTTCACATCACCTTGACCGCGATTCCAACCGCAATCGCATTAGCAATTGCCTTTTCAAAGCATCGCCGACACTACGCAGAAAGGACGTCAGAAGTTCCTGCTTCATCTGCGCCATGCGCCTTTTGTCCGGGCATTCGCTGACTCGTCTCGTTTCTCCAAGTGAACCTGACATCTCTGATCTTTTCCAGAAGGTACCTCTTCCTTTCGGCGGTTTCAAAATAGTGCCGAAGCCATGTGCGGACCCGTCCGTTAGGGCCGGCGATCAGCCTGGCACTTAGACTGGCGCAAGCCCACGCTGGGCTGCTTCCACCTCCAGACGGTGTACCATTTTCGATATAGTAGCTGAACATATCCTTCTAGACTGACCGGAAAGTGGCGCTCTTCCCCATATCCTTCGAGAGTCACTAGCCACGTTCAACACCAAGAAGCGACCTTCAGGTTTTCGCTGACCTTGATGCGTCTTCGCAGATGCGACAGCACACAGCGCTGATCAAACCTCACCGATCGTACAGGGCGCTACCGCTTTCAGTCATCTACAACCGCTCCTGCTCACACCCTCGAATTCATAGTACGAGGTAAGGCCGACGTCGACAACGCAGAACCAAAACGAAGCAGCCAATCCAAGAGCATCGGGTACTGGTAGCCCAGATAGGCTTTGCACCCGTCAGTACCGTGGTAAGCGTGATCGCACTCACTCTGGTACACGCATCTGATAAAGATGCACAACCGAGGTGCCTGACAATCAGATGAAAGATGCAGACCCTTTAGTGCGAATCAGGCTCGGACACGTAAGGGTGGCGGATATACGGCTGACGGGGAAGTGAGAACGCTTCCCCTCCACGCGCAAAAGCACCAGAGAAGGCCCGAGATGATTGTTCATCTGACCAGATTTCTGAGCCCACAACCAGGATAAAAGGAAGTGCCCTGCCTCCGCGGAGTGAACGGGATGGAATCAGGGAAGTTGTTGCCGTCAGGAAAAAAGAAAGAGTTATTCGACGTCCGCGGCACAGATGTCGAGATAGGATATTTGCAACGAAATCCGAAGGTAGCCATAGAGACACCGCAGTAGGGACACAACGGATGTCGAAGACCTGCCTGGTACGCTCGTCAGCATTTTCGATGGCATGCTATGGACTCAGAAGGGATAGGAGAAGTACCTAAATCGCGGCCATCAAACGCAATAGTTACTCAGCAGCGGCGTTACTGCATCTTACACCAGGATATTCATTACTGCAATACAGACGCTAATTTCATTGCACCCTTGAAATTCGACACATTCGATACCATAATATGCGCTTTGCGACGCTGCATCTACCAGCGCATCAAGCAAGCACACGGCCATTGTAGGGACCGCAGTGCAACAGCGAAGGTCACGCATGCACACGATTCTGCAACGATCAGCTATCCCCTACGATTGATGAAGCGTCTGCGCAAATGTCGATAACATTGGATCTTTTCGAACGAAATGATGATATCGCAAACAACTTATGACAAGAACCAACTACGCGGCACGACACGATGCAGAACAAACAGACACAAGTATTTCCAGATGTGATGCAGAGATGCATTCATGACGACAGCTATATACGACTGCAAATATATACAAAGAAGCGTTTTGTTACCCGTCTCAGGGTACTGTACTTGAGGGTTCCCATTCCAGGGTTCCCATCTCAGAGTCCCCAGCCACCTTCACCCCATCTAACAAGTAAACCTCTTAGGCCCAGGAACCGTATAAGTAGCCGCCTTGTAAGCATCATAAGTAATACCGGCGTCGCTCCCCTTGTACGCACCAGGGAAACCAACAAGCCCGCTCGGCTTTGTAGATCCACCTCCGGTAACCTTGAGTTGATGGCACCCAGGATAGAATTGCGCACCAGGGTACTGGTAGGCAGCGTGCAGCGCAACGATTTCGTGACGCACGAGGTAGTAGCCTGGGGTGATGCACTTGGGGATGGTGTATGTGACGGAGCCGCCGGGGACTTGGAGGGCGTCGGAGCCCCAGACGTCAGAGGTGCCTTGGCGGCCGTCTTCTTGGACTTTGAACCAGACTGCACTGGTGGGGGTGTTAATATCAAGGTGGTGGATAATAAGTCAGGTGGGTTACTTACGCTGACTCAGGCATCCAGTCATTGCATCCGGCATCGGGGCACTTGGCCATGTATGTGATGGTAGGACCCATGTGGCTCTCGGGCCAGAGCGTCCAGTAGAGCTCGACGTCTGAACCGGCTGCGGCTTCGGCGTGGAGAGCAGCGGGCTTGGAGCCGTTGATACCGCCGGCTGCGTAGCCGCCGCATTGGATGTCGGAGATGGCTACGTCCTCGACGGGGCCGTTGCCTTGGATGGGACGCGAGATGCGCTTCACGTCCGTCATGTAGGGGTCTTGGTAGGGTTGGTAGAAGATGTATTCTTTGCCGCCGATGGTAGCGTTGTTGACGTAGCCGTGGGCTGCGACGGCGGTCGCGAAGGCGAGGGCGGAGGCGATGTACTTCATTTTGAAGAAGACGATAAAGTCGATTCGATTCGAATTGGTTTGGGGGTATCAAAGAATTGAAGATTGGAGGTGTTGCGAGCTGTAAAGATACGATCCTGCGTATCGAGCGTGCTGATAATCCGAAGATGAATTGAAAGAAGAGAACGACTTATAAGTTCTGAACAAGACACAAAAAAACGAGTGAATAGACGACGATGGAGTTAGACAGACGACCGGTACTGAGTGACCTAGATGCCGAAAACATAGATTGACTGAGGCGGCATGTCTTATAGTAAGTAGTCTCCGGCTGGCAATTACTCCACGACACAGGAGCGCAGTTGCGTCACCATGGGATTCCGATCCAAGGCACCACCAGCACCAAGCATCGAGATGATTGTTTGAAACTTGCACTGGCTTGCCATGGCGATGGCCACATGCTGGAGGGCGATCATGAAAGGAGGGTGCGTAGATTAATCAAGGCGCGCTAGCGAGGCCTTGGGCGGCTCCACTGTTTCCCCTATGAGGCTGTGAGGCATGGCTGGATCAGGCTGGAAGGAGCCGTTGGGCCCGTTGAGGGAACTTGGAGGAGGTAAGCGAAATGAGTTGATGGTGGATTCTCTTGTCAGACGTCATTTTTTCTATTGGAATGCCATCATATGTTGTTCGTGAGGGTGAACAGTCTCGTTCTGGCGTTGTGATGCGGCGTCACAGGGCACGGGTTCGTTCGCGTTGGAAAAGTTTAGAAGCGTCTCGACCTTTTTTTCTTGTGAAACATGACGCACAGAACATGTTCAATAATCAACCAACGCTTGCGATTCACGCAATTGGTGGACACCAACTCAATCTTCTTGGTGGTTGTCTCAGATTCGATATTAACACCTGGGCATCTGCGGATGTTCGTTTACCCAAGTGCCGTACCAGGGAAGGCCCCATCCTGCACCTCGGAGAAATTAATATAGTCGTTATATAGAGGAAAGCCGGGTTGCCGGTCGACGTGGTGTCACGATGGCCACTTTACATGGCATTGTCGAACGACGTTTAGATTGCTGGTGCTGCGGGACTGTTGCGATGCGGCCCGCGGGGTTGGGGAGGGTTTGGTGATGGCGCTGTGGTTAGATTGCGATGGGCTGGTCAAGGGCTTGGCTTTGGCTGAACCGTGGGGATGGGAATCCTGCGGAAGTCACGGGTTTGTTTGCTTGTTTGGAGTTGTATCAGATGGTTGTTGTTGCGTTGAGTGTCTAGGTGGCTGTTGCTACTCTACTCTACCTAGATACTCTGGAAGCGCATGTCCGCATACCTCTACCATCTACCTAGTACTTCCCATGACATTGTGGCCCAATGTGATACTCACCTCCCCCTTGATCAACATCCACCTTGCAAAGTCCTGTGCGAAATGCGCATACTTCCAGCACAACTTCGCGAGCTCTTCCTTCACAACATCCTCACCTGTGTCCCCATGATTAATCGTAACCTCCTCTTCGCCTCGTTCCTGGACTCCAACCTGACCAGCAGCCGGCGTCGCGGTCCATCGCTGCGCTCTCACCCAGATCCTAGCGGCAGTTTCGCAAACCAAACCTCGTAGAGGCCAGGACGTGATCATATCCGGTATATCTTGACCCTGGAAGCTCTCCCAAGTATTGTCGTCCTTCTCGTATATCAGATCGACATACATTCGGAGCAACCGCACAGCGTTCTTTGCCGTATTGTTGCGCGGCTCGTCCAGCCATGTCAAGGCCTCATCAGCGCCTGTCTGGAACTGCGCATGAACGAGCCCAGCCAGGCCACTGACACCGCACACCTTCTGACGTGCCAGATCGTAAACGTCGGCGTGATGAGCGGCGAGCCTCCTGCGCTATTGCATGCTAGGCATCGGGGGCGAGGGAAGAAGACGCGGATCGTAGGTCTGGAGGTAAAAGTAGCGTAGCATATCTTCGATAGCTTCGACATTTTCATAAGCAATAGCGATGGTAGATCCAATGTCCTTGACAGGTTAGAGAGCAAGGATCTTACATGGACGGAAACAAGGAAGTGATGGTTAACTTGACTTACTAGTTCCTGGGAGTTGAATTTTCTCTTGAAGGTCGCTGAGTTGTTGGAGAGAACATCTTTGTGAGCGCGGAAGCGGTATTTGGGATTGTCTGGGTGTCCGTACTCGATCTTGACATTGGGGGTCATATGGTCTTTGAGAGCATCAGTTAGCTCAACTTCTAGTGGAGAGTCCATCTTCATGGTCGATACTGTTGAATGCTAGATGTCCAGGCTCAACATCTCACTGCCTATATACCACATTAGCAAATATCAAGTGCTTGCTCGATGATCCTCGTGCTGAAGACTGATGACCGAAAACCACAAGCAATGGTAGGCAATCAGAGAGTAAGTATTAACACAGCTGCATGAAGTACCCTGCAACCTAATCCGTGAACTCCAAGTTTTATGGCCGTAGACACGCTCATTCGTATGCCAAACCATTGCCCTGAGCTCCAAAAAAGATAGCCATCTACCCATGTCGTCGTTCCGTCTAGTATCCAGTCGCACCGGGTGCCTTCTCGTCCTTCTTCAGACTGAGCAGCAGTTCCCTGAAGCGGGCCTTCTCGCTGCCTGACGCGCCGCCCTTGGTACCCTTTCCACTCAGATCGACCAGCTTGGCGATGCGCTCCCAGCTCGTACCGCCTGCAGTGGTGTCGTCGCGGTTTGCAAGGAACTCCTCAGCCTCCTTCCGTGTCTTGGCGATCTCCTTGTCCTTCTTGTTGTTGTAGTTCTCGTAGAAGTCGTCAATGTTTTGCTGCGCCTCCTGGATGGTTTTCTGTTTGCGGTCGTGGGAGACCTCGTCGCGGTGCTGGATCTGGAGGTCGCGGCGCTCGCGCCATTCGCGGATGACGTCGGGTTCGGGCGAGTCTGAGCGCTGTGGGGTGAAGGACGGGGCTGGTTGGCCGGGGAGGAAGGGTAGGCCTGATCCTGTGATGGTGCCGCCGGGAGCCATGTGCTGCTGGAGTCAGTATACCGTCGGAATGGTGATTGTTCCATGCTCAATTCAGGCCTCGACTGGCGCGTCACTTTTGAACATGCCAGATCGCAACCATGCCTTGGCTAAAGAAGCAGGCGTGCTTACGTCGTTGGTCGTGTCAATGGCGGGGAAGGAGCTCTCGAAGCCGCTCATCTCCTGGCCGCCGACGTTGGCCTGGCTGAAGTCTCCCCCAAGCAGGTCGTCGTCGCCATCCTCGACCGTCGCTGCCCTGTCGTTTTCCGAAGCAAACTGGTCGGCATCGTCGCCAAGAAGCGCGCGTTCACGGTCGAGGAAGTTGCTGGCATCGTTGTCGCCGCCGCCAATGTCGAAGTCTGCCGCATCGCCGCGCGCTTCGGTCTGGCCTGCTTGGTTTAGTATGCGGTGCGGAGGTGCTTCGGGGACCATAGCTGAGCTCACCGGCGTCAATCTCGTCTAATGAGGGGAAGCGGTCTGCCATTGTGGGTGTGGAGGGTGTGGGGGATGTGGTGGGAGGAGCGGAGATAAGTTTGGCGACAGCAGTTTGCGTACAAGTGTCTTGTTGTTGCGTCTTGGATAGTTACCGTTGGTGACGGCCAGCCAGGGAGCTGCTTGGCGCGGCGGAGCCACGTTTAGCCGCATACCACCTAGCGTCCCTAGCTCTCAAGTGCTCCCTCACCTGGAACTCTTCCACCCATTCCATCTCCAACACACGTCATCATCTGGACACTGTAGTCGCGAACACTTGCAGAGCGCAAATCGCACGCTGAAGGTTACATTCCATCTGTTACCATCACGCGCACTTCCGCTAGGTGATTGTCTTCTGCTCGCGTGCGCATCATTCTTCAGTAGCTGTCGCATATATTCGTGAAGACCTCCAGCGCCATCATGGCTTTCACCGAGGACAGCCTCAAGGCTAAGCTCTCATCGCTCAATGAGACCCAAGAGGCCATCTCCACTGTCGGCCAATGGATCCTCTTCCACAGGTAAAGCATCCCATCTCTGCCAAGACTCCAGTTTGCTGCATGCATCACGCGTCGAATCCATGGATTGCGAGTTTTGTCATGCACTTTGGAACCATATACTAACGTCACGTGTACAGACGACATGCCGAGCGCATCGCTCATGTATGGCTACAACGCATGAAGGAGTCGCCCCCGAATAAGAAACTGGTGCTCATCTATCTCGCCAACGAAATCACACAAACCTCCAAGATGCGCAAGAAGGAGGAGTTCCTGCGCGCATACGAACCCATTCTCGCCGAAGCGACGACAGCAGCCTATAAGGGCTCCCCCCACGAGATACAAAACAAGATTCGAAGGGTCGTCGAGGTTTGGAGGCAGCGCAACATCTTCAACTTGGCTGTGCAGCAGGCGGTGGAGAGGTCGATAGACGAGGTGGACCGCTCCAAATCTACGCGCAAACCTGCTCTAGGTGGATCGCTCTTCTCGAGCTCGTCAGTCCCACCTGAGCTCACACCGGTCGCGCCTCTGGCAACTGCGCTTCAGAAAGCCGATGCCGCGACGAAACCCGCCGTCACCACCGCCAACCAAGACTACGAGAAGCTCACCAACCCGAATGCCGCGATCCCATCCCCGCCAATGCACGCGGCTGGGCTCGCTGCACTCTGCAAGAAGCTTGCGCTGGCCGAGGGCGCTGTCGCCGAGAGCATCAAGGCGCGCAAGGCTCTCCTCACCGGTCTAGAGCACCTCCTCGAGGCGAACAGGAACAAGCTAGCCGACGAAGAGGCGCAGGAAGCAGACCTCAAGACGCGCAAAGACGCCATAGAAAGCCGAAAGCGCGCAGTTGAGGAAGCTATCCTTAAGGGCCTGTCAGCAGCAGAGCAGAACAGAATCTCCACCGCACCCCTCCCAGTCGCTACAACCTCCCCAGTCGCAGCCACCTTCTCAGGCGCGCAAGAAAGACCTGAGGTCGAGGAACTCACACCCCCGCCCATGGAATCTTTCACACCCGTCGGCTCACCACACCTTGCACCCGCCCCCCAGAACGACCCTGTGCCCACTATCCGCGACGACGAAATGCCGCAACCCGCTGCCCACCCTGTCGTACCTGAGACCGCCCCTGCCCCCGCGCAGCACACCACCCAACCCGAATACGCGACCGCCATCGGCGAGCCGAACCAGCACATAGCTGCAGACCTACTCAAGAGCCTACAACATGCGCCAATGGGTGGTGCTGAAGGTGGTGTGTACGGACAACATCATGCGTATGAGAATGCGCATAAGAAGAGGAAGATGAGCAGAAATGCCGGCGAGGATGACTTTGCGGCTTTTGCTGGAGACAGGGATATGGCTGGCATTGACGACAACTTTGCTGAGCTGATTTGAGGGCACTGGGGGTAGCTAGGATTCGTGTCATATTCTTCAAGGAAATTGCTAGAGCGGGCAATGGATGGAATGGTAGTTTCAAAATGGATATGTTGTAGCGCGGGGGTGGCATTTACTACCGCATGACTTGCAATGCAGTCTGTACAGGGCGTCTAGGGTTTAAGTGTCGATGTACGATATGCATGGGGTCTCAGCATGGGCGCAGGTATAACAAGGGAGATGGTGGACTAGATCCAAGGCAAAGCTACGGGATCGAGTAGAAGACACACGACTAGGATCTTTGCTCAAAAACAGTTATTTCTCAGATACCATCATCAATCATAATGTACAATTACAGGACCCATCATCCCATACCATGTCATACCATTTCCATACCATTTCCATTCCCATAATTCACAATACCATCCCCATCACACCCCGACCCATCCCTCCCCTAGTCCACCTCCTCAACCCTGCTAGTCCCCTGCTTCTGCGCCTGCGCCTGACCCGGCATCTTCCTATTCCTCTCAATTTCGCCCATAACCCTCTGCCCCTCCTCCGTTGTCGCATCAATAACGCCCTCCTCAAGACTCAACATCCCCCCCTGCCCCAACTTCTCAACCACCTCCTCCGCCTCATCCACACTCATCTTCGCCAACACCTTGTTCACCTCATCCAGCTTCCCGCTCTCCAACGCACGCTGCAGACCCGGCGGGAAAGTTTCAAATATTTGTCTCGCTTGCTCTTCTGCTTCTTTCTCTGCGGGGTCAGTGGCGAGTGATTCTTTGGGGGGCACAGAGATGTTGATGGTGGTGCCGGGGTCTACGGCGTGGAGTTGGATTTGCTCGACGCCTGCGCCTTCGGATTGAGGGTTCTCGGCGCGTTCTTTTAGGATTTCGGCAGCGCGCGTGCGGATGCGGGCGTAGGTTGAGTCGACGTCGTCGTTGAACATTTTGCCGGCTTGGTGGTCTTTTATTTGTATGCGTTTGAAGAAGAGCTCTACGCCTTGTCGTCCACCTAGTTGGCGACAGTATTGCAACAGAAGGCCTTGGTGCACGCACTGCCGTGCGTGCTTGGGCTTGCCGTCGAGTTCAGAGTTGAAGGCTTCGACGAGGAGGCCGTCTGTTTCCTTCTCGGCGAGGATCTCTGGGTGTGCCATGAGGAATTGTAGGCAGGCGTACCAGTCTCCCGCTTTTATTTTGGCGAATTGCTGGGCGAGGGGTGAGGCGGTGATATCGTCTTCGTTGTCGGAATCGGCGCCGGTGGGCTCGGCGACGCTGCCTTCTTCTATGTCGCCGTCTGCGCCGGAGGACTGGCCTGTGTCTGTTCGGGTGGCCGAGGGGCGGGAGGGGTTGTTGAGGAGTTCGACGGCGGGCTCTTTCTTCGATGAGGAGGAGGATGAGGCGGCTTTCTTCTTCTCTTCTTCGGCTTTCTTGACGTTGGAGTAGCTGAAGCCTTCGTGGATGTCGTCGCTCGTGATGTGCTTCTTGTCCTCTTTTTCTAGCTCGTCGAGCTTGGCTAGGAGTTGTTGCTGGAGATCTTGTATGCGCGCCTTCTCCTTCTCTAGACCCTGAATGAATAGTGTGTATCGCGGCTCTTCACTCTTCTGCTCGTCAATGTCCTTCTTCACAGCGTCTACTAAGCTTGCCATCATCTGGGGGTATGTGGGCTTGTCCTTGATGTGCTCGTGTACGCCCTCTGGTGGTGGCGGCGGCCGGTCTGAGCCTCCGTCTTTGTCAATCTTCATGTCCATCATGCTCTCCATCATGGCCTGGAAGACGAGCTGGTCATCGTTCTGGCCATTTCCCTCGGCCTGCTTGTCCTTGTGCGATTTCAGTGCCGTGAGCAGGCGGTCGACGCGTTCGGTGAGGCCATCGTTGATGATGCGCTCGTACTTGAGCGTCTTTATTTGGTGGCGGCGG